GTCGTGCTCGGAAATCACTGTCGGGACTTATCCTCAAGACCCGTGATTACTGAACAATTTAAGGTAGTACTGTAGCATTACCCACTACAGTTTCTACCCTCCAGGATCACATCTATAAATCAGTTTTCTGCCCTTTATCATCAAATTCGACGTGTGACTTTGATCGCACACTTGTGAATGAATATGATCTCAACAGAATTCTTCTTTGAATCTCCGACTTATAGCATGATTCAGCCGAATGCGCTGCAAAGAAGTCATGTCGCATTTAGGTAGGAGAGATACCCAGGACATCGAAATAGTCTTCCTTGATACTACGCTTGGGTATCGTTTCAACAGAAACACTTTTATTGCATATGCGCAACGTGACCATAAAGACAGCAACGAATTTCTGAAGCTGGTACAGCTATACGAATAGAAAGCTGCACTCAACAGTAAACAGATAGTTTCACTGGCACTGAGTGGCATTCAAAGCTTGCGCATGTTTTCACCCTGTCTTTTCGGTGTACTGAGCCTGTATGAATTAATTAAGGCGATAAACGTGCAATTCAAAGCGAAGCGAGTGCTTCGGATTCATTCATGACAAAAAGAGAAAAAACCTACAAAAAGAATTCCCCGCTCCACATGTGTTCAGTTTATGGGAAACCAATATACCATTATCACAATGTCGTTGACACAATGGTATTCTAAGCTGTTTGACTTGCCTCATCAAGTTTTCCAATGGAAAAAAACATTCGCACATAATCTGGCGGAAGAAATAGGCCAAGCATGTCCGTAGGTACAGATTGCACCAGGCAGAATTGCTGTGGTCAAAGCCAGCTATAATGTCGATAGTGTACAAAAATCCTTCGCACAAGCTGACATAGGAAAAAGGTAGGTGGAAGCAGCACATCAGACCGAACAGTTGATATATGGGTAACGGTTTTCAGCTTAAACGTTATCCAGAGTTAGCGCTGTTGAATACATGTTGCTATGTATATTCTTCTGGGAGGACCGAAGTTCTTGAATAACACACCAAAGGTGGCAACGTGAAAGAATTCGCTTCGGAACAATCGTATTGTGGTTTCTTTCTACCTACCAATGATGCGACCATCCTCCAGGCGTTTACCACAGAAATTTTAAGGCAGCGAATCCCCAGTTCAATGTTTTTTCGTTGGGATGAATACCCCAGTGATCCAATTAAAATAAAAGCCATCAGAGAATGTGACGATGTGCACCAAGTCCTGCTTGAAAGAAATGGCTATAATCAGTTCTCAGTCAGCTCACTTTGTCCTCTAACAGCTACCGGAACTATGAACCGTAACCATGCCCAGTGTGAACCGCTTGTTCCCACTCAAGTATTCCATCTAACTGTTCTTATCTTAAGTGGGTATGCAGGCAACACCATCAACCCTGTGAAATCTACTCAACCTGTCTATTAGGTGAATCAGAATGACAAATATGCTGTCTGCTATTTGCAATCTAGGAACCTTTGGCCATTAGGGAGCAATTAAGTCAGAATCATATCTGGCCCGTCTGTCAATCGGAAACACACTCCTCTGGTGATTGACTGATTTGGTAACAAAGTTGCCTAAAGTTGCTGCCTAACTGAATTCTAGTCAGGATGAAATCGGCACAGTCAGTTCATTACAAAGTAGCTAGAAGCGACTTTTCTTGAGGAAACTGAACTATTGCCGCACGGGTGGAGATGACCCTTCTGTTTAGTCGACGCATAAGTAGGCTGATTTGTTTTACAAATAGACTCACTATATGTCACGTCTTTGCGCACCGAAATCGATTTAGCAATGAAACGATGTAGAGGTGCCTGTCAATGAGCAAGGGACGTATTGAACACCACTATCTGTCGCTTTGGTAATGCGGAATTAAAGTCAATAAAACACACTTTGTGAAAGTAATCGAGGGATGTTAAAACTTCCATTACGTCCGTCGATTGCAAACGTGAAGTAGTCCACAGTACCAGATGGCTTTTATTGTAACAAACATATCTCTTTAAGTTGCACTCTCAAAATAAAAATGCAGGTAGACCATAAAGACTAGAGGAGGAAGTGTAACTGAGTGAACTCCTTGAAAATCTGTTTAGCCGATGAAGTAGAATATATGGATTGGTATTATCGACATACACGGGACGAAGTTCTGCATACACTGAGAGTGGGAGCTTGCTTCAAGTGGTATTACTAAGTCCTAACGTTGTAAATTTCTACGGTCAAGTCACGGGTAGAAAGCTGATTCAAGCCAAATCAAAGCGTAGTTGAACCAAAGTTCACTGGTGCTTTAATGAGAACACTTTGCTCTTCATCGAACGATCACTGTAAACATAAAAAATAAACGATGTGATTGATAGACAGTTAAAATATTTATATCATCAGACGGCGTAGTGACCGTAAAAGAATGAATCGAGTAAGGAACAAGTCGTAAGGTTGAGTAATACAATGATGGATGCAAGCGCTGCCTTTTGTCTATCAGAGGCTGTAAGTATTTTGTTTCTAGTAAGTTGCTGTAATGAAGTTTTTTTGTTATCTGCCTTAACTCTGATAAAATGGCCCAGACCATTTTGATCTATCGTGGAATGTGGAAAAGTTGTTCTAATTCTTCTCTTATGACTAATTCCCGAACCACAGGCAGAAATACCAGAATTGTGGAGTAGAAACACTCAAAGACAAGTAAGGTGACAACAAGCCCTCTGTTTCCGGTGACGACACGCATAGAGAAGCAAATCGGTCTATAGGTCTTGTCAACGTACGATCACAGCTGTGGAGTCAAGGTAACGGAGCTTGAGCACCGGAAATTGGTGGGGGGGTGGTGGTGGAGCGTGTACGGTTTAGACCCGTACACAAAAAGAAAGCGAGTCAGCTGCGAGAAATGAAGTTGACGGACGGAAAGGAATTTCTGCCTACAGTGGATAGCATAACATAAGGTCAGATCAAATTTTGTAGGAATGGGGTTTTAGTCTTGTCACCAAACGACACACGATATCAACAAACTGTTTTTACTGTCGCCTTCAATAGGTTTATGCGAATTGACAGTCCGGGTGAAAACGATATTTAAGGATATGAAGTGCATAAACGAGGACGAAGAACAAGTTCATCTCAGTTGAACAAGGTAGCTGAGATGAAGGTCGAGGATTAGGCACAAAATGACAGACCAAGGACAAGTCACTGCATAGTAAAGCGAATGGTAGTTGAGACAGTTGAGACAGTGGCTGCAAGGGTCGAGGCACAGGAGGGTAAGCGGAAACCCATATTTAGGAAAAAGATATCTGCGTTGGTACCTTATCCCGTAACTTCAGAAAAAAAAGCGTATTTCAGTCATATCGAGCACGTCACAACATTGTAGATGAAGGACTTGAAAATTTTACCAAAGTAGAGGACCGAAATAAGCTATACTTATCGAACCCTGAAAATGGTTGCATACTCCCTGTAGAATGACTGATTTCATCCACTCATTCTTCCACCTAACCAGTCGACCAACCAACCAAACAAATAACCAGACGAAAATGCAAGTAGGCAGGCAGGCAGGCAGGCAGGCAAGAGCGACCTAGCTGACGAACAAGTGACTCGTACAGGCCTCTGGGTTTCTCAAGAAGTAATGTCGCAAGTCCCTGAAGCCTTGTAGATTGGCAGTCGTCTGTGATTTCTGTCCTTGTTCTTAGAACGGCGGAGCGCGTGTGATGACCTTCTGGAGGAAAACGTGGAGGTGTGTCCGTAGTTGGATTAATAATTATGCGCGGAAAGAGTAGGCAGTAGACCTAAGTTAGACCAGTAAAAGAAAAATACAGTCAACTGCGACCGATGCAAGGACCTTATATATATATATCTATTGAACCGGACCGAAAAACTGAATAATCCACGTCTGAATTTTTCCAATTTACAGGTCCCTTGGTTTCCGTCATATTCGTTCACCTGCTTCTGGTCATCATCAATGAAGCATTGCTTTTTCTTGGGATGCTGTGCAGAGCAAGATTTTTACTGCATGTTGTAAGTACCCTCGTGCATGGTTCTCGTGTTCTAGTTATACTATTTGCATGCAATCAGTTTCGCTATGTATAGATACTAAGGTGTTTTGGAAGAACACAGAAAACGATAACTAAGTGCAGGTCAGATAAGGTGTAACGGATGTAGATAATCAGGAATTCTACATCATCTCGGGTGTGCACCCGTCATCTTTCCTTAGCTTTCCTTCACCAAGTGCAAGACGCGGTTATTTTCAGGACTGAAATTAAAAGGGGTGCTGTTTATATCGACCCCCTCCGCAACCCTCATTTCTACCCGTGAATACTATTTTTTTCTAATTCAGAGCATAACACAAGGAAGTTAGTGGAGCCAGCTTTGCTAGCCTCATTGGAATTCACCAGTTACAGGTTGAGTGCGCTCCCTTTCATAGTTAAATCTGCGATGTATTGTTTCTAGATGGGGAGGACTTTGCTAGTCAGTGTCTTGAATGGAAATTTGGTATCAAATCCATCTGAAAAATGTGCCAAACAGATAATTAGGGGGGCTATTGGTTACTTCTCTTCGTAAACAGACTGCCATATGAATACGCGTCTAGTGAAGCACAAAGAGATCCTCTAAAACGGTAGTCTCATAGAAGCTTTTTCGGAGGGAACTTCACGTTAAATTTTTATATTTGCTGCGGTTATATTTTGCTATACAGCTCCGGAGAACTCAACTCCAGATGAAATTAATTTAAGTTGGTTCCTTGAGAGGTGACTGTGTCACTTAGGGTCAGCCTGATATTGTATACTGGATATCAGACGATTAAAATGGATTACTAGACAGTCAGTGAACGCGTACCGCATAAATACTTTACACAAGAGCCAGTCAGACAGCCTTCAGTACAATGAGAAAAAAGCTGCTAACCCGACGGATCGACAAGTTTATTCTAAACGTTAGCTACTCAAAATCAAGCAGTAGTTTGAAGACTAAGCTTATTTTTATAAGAAGTCATTCAAAGTAAACCTGATTGGACCAGGGTTCTCGGTTCATTCGTTTGAGTTTATGGTCAACGCCCATTCGGTTTGAAAGTGAATTTTTATTGTGGTATATTCATAGTTTAGTGTGCGAGTAGGAAATCAAGTCAAAGGTTAGGAATCAGTTTGATTGGTGAGTGAGACCACTACTGGACTTCTCATGGCTTTCGTATGTCCTAGGCTTAGTATCGAAGCCGACGGACAATACTGTAGTGTGTAGTATAGAGTTTGATACAGCGACACCGAAAGTCAAGATTTATCGAGCCGCGATTCAAGCATCGATGAATTCGCCCCAAATGGAGCTTTTAATCAAAAACCGTTTCGTATGTGTTCCTAAACATGAGACCCACTCGTTTTTTTTCAGGCCATGGTCTTGATGACTCTGTTGCTTTTGGCGGAGACAGTATGCTACATCTACTACCTCGTTGCCTGGGAACAAATGGTGGGTTATTTCAACATAATATTTCGTTGAACACTGAGATCTTTCTTCGGTGAATTCAAGACAGCCACCACAAGTGCAAAAGCTGGAATGTACTGTAACCAGGGCATTTAAACTCACGAATGCAGCTGAGAAGCAGGCCATAGGTTAGCTTACTTCCCGCCAAGAGATTACACCGATACCATATGCCCCAAAAACGAGATGATTTTAGTGAAATTGCAAATTTTAGAAGTCAATTTCCGTTCACTCGAATGAATATGGAACTCTGTCTTGAGTATATTTTCTCACGGCGCGCCTGAGTTTTTGCTCAGCACGATTCCGAATTCATTTAAAATGAATCAGTATTTACACAATCAGTCATACCTGTTACGGTTACAAGGAGTTAAACAGTTAGGTAGTTGGTGCGATCGCAAATCGGTGCCCCTTCGTCTCACTGTAGACAAAACTGATATGTGATATTTGGCAACCATTCTGAACTATGGATATTCAAAGTATCACGTCAAACTTTCTCAAATGCAGTTTTCACCTGAGAATGGTAATATATCAGATTGGTAAACAGCCTGAAATTTTTAAGCAATCGAACAGGGAACGGCAGCAACAAAAAGGCTTGAGGTCAGATACACTCTGATTCTATTCATTGTGCGAATCTGATAAAAATTTATACCTAGCTATTGTGTAAAGTGGATCACTGTTGAAAGGGAATAGGTTTGGCTTCCTGACCTGGTGTTTGTTTGGCCCAACATTGGGATACAAGTTTGTTGAAGACTCTAGCAAACGCAGAGTCTTGTATTTTTGTCATTTTTGGACAAAGAATTCAGTGCTCCTTGACTTGGGTAGCATGGTTGTACGCGGGCTGGGATACTGTCAGGGCGCCCACACCTAGACAGGAAGACAATTAGAGCCCTCAACCGAATCCTTTGGCTCAAAAGTCTAACCGCAAGGCAGTGGTGTTTGGCAGGGAATGCAAATGCATTACCGTTTCTACGGAACAAGTCGCCACATGTTCCAACCCCCAACCTGGAGGGCCAGGAGACTGTGTTCGTCAGACGTCTAACCATTGACCAACCTGGTATGAGGGACCTTGTGTGTGTCGCGAGGACACCCCCAAGTATAGCTCAGTGAGTCGCTGAGGTGCGCAAACCATCGCACTACTGTAAGGGCTAGTCTCTTCTAGACAGTTGTATGGTAGTGAAGCATCGGTGTTGAACACTTATGTCATCCTTTCGATGATGATGATGTTCTCTGACTAGGTTTGATTCAAAACATCAATCCCATGCAATGCATACAGAATATCTACAATTCTTCCTAGAGGTTATAAGCATTGTTTCACAGCGAACCGATTCATCGGTCTCTGAGGCGAATAACCTTCTTTCGCGTTATTTCACGTTTTTCTACTTTCGAAGCATTCCGATTGAAAATCCCCTTGGCTCTAAAAGTTGCCTGAAAAAGTTTGCAGTCTCCTCCTATCTGGGTAGGACTATAAAATGCACCAAATTTCTCCGAAATTTGCCCCTAAAAGTGTCGTAGTTTCAACTGACACCAGAATCACACTCGTGGAACTGTAAATGCTGGGAGATGTAGAGTGCTTGGTACGATAATTCTAGCCGTTGCCGACAGTAATGAATGAAAATTCACCCAGTGAATTTTGTTCAGGTCAAGTCCGTTGATCCATTTCTAATCTCCCGATGGGATTTTCCTGTTATCTCAGTCCAAACTGAAGCATCAGGCCTCGTATTTAACAATATACACAACGCATATTGTATGGTCAGCACTGCTTGGTACCAAATGACCAGTGACTTCTGTACAGTTTTTGGGTGTTCCTTTTAAAGACATCAGAGAATCCATTGCTGACGGAAACCTGGAATTCCTGGACTTCGCCGGTTATCGTAAACGAATCATATTTCCGTACTTGCACTGATTTAATTACCTAACTACCTGGATGTATTTTTTTAACCACCCATTTTCTCCAAACCGCAGGAATTTGAATCCATGGTGGAAACGATAAGTGGATTGCGAAAGGCGTACCTCGGGGCCGTGTCAACCAACTTCCAGACATTTTTACTCAACTTCATTCAACAAAATGTAGGTAATATTTTGTGTGTGCAATTGTTTTGGTACCGAATCATTTGTTTCTGCGGCAATGAAGAAACCGAAGTTCTGGGCCTCGTACATGCCAGGCGAGATACTTGATACTTTTCCTAGCAAGTCAACAGTTTATTAGACTCTGTGGCCCAGCTACTGATTGACAGCGAGAACGGTTTACTGACGTCGATGAAAAACTATAATTATTTAACATTTTCGTGGAAAGAACCGGGGGGTGGGGGTGGCTTAGCCTGCTGTACTAGCCAGAATTCATGCCTTCGGTAAGAGTCACCGTGCTCTCCAACTGAATGTGCTGCACACAGGCAACCTCGTGTTTCGAGATATCGCAGTATATTTTCATAAAGAAAACTACTCACAAGGTTGCTGAAAACTCGTCGACAGCCTACGACCGGTTTTGCCTTCCTTGGAACTTATCAGTTCAGTCTCTGGTGAAACCAAAGTGAATTGCAAATGAGTGTATTTCTCAAAAACAGTTCAATTAGGGTTCAAGTAGAACATAAGGTTGACGGAAACTTGGGGACTGCGCCTATCTGATGAGCCCCAAGAAAGGCGAAACCGGTTGTGGGCTGTCGACGAGTTTTCAGCAACCTTGTGAGTAGTCTCCTTTATGAAAATAAGAGTCATCATCTTACGCCCAATGAAAATAAATTAGCCACTGACTGGACTAACTTGACTACGGCTGAATTCCACTTAACCTCCCCCAACTTCCCTCCCCCAGACTAAATTGTCACAATACTCACAAGCCCACAAAGACCAACAAAATCCACCAATGGCAACCGCGATAAACGATCATGTAAAACACACTGAAGTTGAAGATCTAAACTAATTTTATATCCCCCAACACATCAATGTAAAATTTTGCCAACCAAACTAATCAACAAACTCCGTTAATTGACACTCAACACTGAGATCTAGTGCGCCAATACGAAGACGTACTAGTGATTGGTTTTCTGTCTGCCTTAAAACCTGACCAATTTGACGACCTGCTCACTCGGCCTGATGAAGCCTTTGTTTCAAAAGCAAAACGTTGCCCAATTAAAAACTACCGATTGTTTACCAAACACTTCTAAACCTCGACTACTCTTAAGCTTGTCTGAAGTATCAATCGGATAATTTGTGACGTTGTGTTCGGAAAAAGTTGCATTCTACCATGATTTCGTCTAGTAACCAGCTATTAACAATAAAAAACTCTCGATTTTTGAAGTTCTGGGCATCTCATTGAAGATATTTTACTCGAGAAAAGATCAGGCGGACTTGGTCTCTGAGCCAAAAGTCTGAAGTGTGATACTGAATAACAATATTCAAAGTCAAAACATACGAATTCATCCTCAGATGGAGCAGGTGTAATTACAAATGCAGGAGTAATCAGGACAGAAACAGTCATAATCACGTCAAGAGTAAGCAGGCCAAGCAAGTTGCTGTTATAGATGACTCATTCGTTGGTTCTCGTAAGATAAACTTTCAGCAGTGGGGGATTAGCTAGAAACCGTTCTAGAAACACATATCTCCTCACACTACCAACAATCTATAAGTAACTCAATGGAAGAATAAACTTCATCCGATGAGTGAAACTTCTATCTGAGAGTCGTTGCTCGAGGAGCCAGTCAACACGTGTGACCTTGTGATGTGGATCCTGTGATTGAACCATGAGTGGCACTATATCCTGTCTAAGTGCGAGTTAATCACACTGCTGATCAGCCACTCGTGGCCGAACGGTTAAGTGTTCAAACTACTAGCCGGGAGGTCGCGGGTTCGAGACTCTTCGGTGTTTCATGAGATGCGCGCTGATGATGATTCCCAATAAGGATGAAACAGCTGTACAGTGCTTCTCGGTTCTTTAACATAGGTTGGCTTCACTTGCAGGAAGAAATCTCCACATAGAAACCGTTCTAGTGAGCAACTGACGTACGTGGGTTGTAAAGTACGTGGTGTATACTACTCACGACCGTATTATTCACAAAAATGCTTTGCTTCAAGAAGAAAGATTGGAGGTGAGAAGAAAATATACCTTAATTCTTTTTTTTTGAGGTTAGTCCTTGTAAAATTTCCGCGTGGATTTTTCGACAATCAGGGAAAATTGGATATGACTGAAAAAATCGCATGCGAACTCCTCAATCAAGATTGAGGCAGATTGGATTGCACCAGAAACACTAACTGGTACTCTTGCAGATATGAAATGTGACCAGCACAAGCATCACCCCTTAGACGTAAAAATTCAGGTGTATCGAGTGTGCACTGTTTGATTAGTGTTAACAAGTTTGCCCTACATGCCATCCTGGTAAGGTCAAAGCTAAAAATTGATGAAGAGGTCCGAAAGTATTGAATCTAGACCCCCCTCTTTGATGTGGGTTGATCAGAATAGTTGTATCAGGACAGTCGAAGAACCATTGAAGCGAAAGTGATGTGAAGAGAAATTATGCCACCAGGTTGACGTGGGCCAATGAATATCCGGGAAAGTTCAGAAAGACGCGTTCAAGAGAAGATGGATGTTCAGTTTTGGTAAACAAGATGCATACGAGAGTTTTGCTTCCCTGTCCAATAGTCTGTAAATGGTCAGTTGGCATTTTCTAATAAATAACTCCGCAGCGAAGGCCTTCTTTGTTTCACCACCACAGCTATTGGTAAATTGGTAGACTGAGAAACGTTTTACTCTGCTTTACCGACTGTTTTCTGACATCACCCCCAATGCTTTCAAAACCGTGATATGTTGGGACGGATACTAACCTTCCAATGAGATTCGGCTGAAATATTTTTTTCTGTCTGAATCAGTAGGGCCCTTAATTTCAAGACTCGACTGGTGAATACGGTTAAGTTGGACAAGACACCCAAGAGATATTGCATTAAGTAGAACAACACGGCAAAAAAGTCCAATCCCAACTATGATTCTCAGTTGTGGGAGAGTGCGTGATCGATGAAGTCCTTGAAATTCAGTAGAAAATAAACAAACAGAATCAGAGCGTGCAACTAAAGCCGTATTCTAGTTTTGAAGTTTTTTTTCCATCGGATACCTGATATACTTCAATTCATTTTTGTTCAGTTCCAGTGCTGTGGGATATACAGTTTTACCGAATGGTTCAACCCTTCGTATAAATGGACAAGGAAGGTCGTGTACGGTGGAAAAGAGTACGGTAAGTGTTCAGCGAAGGTTTCGTATCGTTGCATTTCCAAGTTTTACATTGCATTCTCCCTTGCCTGTGATCTTCCCTGAGAACTTCAAACCCTTCATTCAGGTGGGTAAGATCTAAACTAACTGCGGAATAATATACTCTTCCTGTTTATTGCCCTAGAATTACGAGTTCCCATAAGCTGTTGCCCAAATATCAGTGCTGAGCGAGTTCCCAACTGTGCACTGAAATGTGCAACGGACATGCCATATGAACACGTGAGTTTCTCGGTCTGTCCCTTCGGCTGTGATTAACAAATCAACATTTTTTTGGTATTTGTAATAGGCGCCAGTTTACCTTGTTTTTCACTCACCCAAAAGGGTGAACAATGTTTGGTTTGGGCACTGCACGACTCCACATTGCGGACTGTCTACAAACCAGTCCGTTTGTCGTTGTCCAATATAGTCGCGAACAGACAGTCTTTCAGTTATTTTCCTCTGTGACAAGGCTTTACATAAGGGGCCAGCGAAAAAGGCGTGGCAAAAGCTTGCCCTAGCAGACGGTAGAGAGTGGGGTGATAGATTTTTACCATCCGTATTCACGATACGTTATCACGACTGTTCTGTCTATAAAAATTTTCATTAATCCAATCAGCTAGACAGTAATTATTTCTATTAGTGAATGTTTTCAGTCCCCTCAAAATGTAGCTTAGTTCTAAAAAAACAGGGCAGCGTGGCAGACCTGTTCTAGGAAGTGGTCTTTCTCCAGAGGTGTTAAATGGTGAAACGAGGTCTACAGGGTGTCTCATAATAAACGCAAAAGTTAATTGAGCAATTGAACGTAGTCATTTGAAGAAAGGATGACAAAATTTTTAATTTTTATTATTCACATAAGGGAGGTTTTGTTTACAGTTGTTAGCAATTTTTCTGTTTACTGTGCATGTCAGTACGCTCATTCAAACTGTGAAACTTTATTATTCCCTTGGTAAAAGTGCCACCGCTGTACTTCGTGGTTACAAAACCAAACATAGTCTCATCAAAGATCCTTTCACCGTGTCGACCACTACACGCTTGATTGCAAACTTTGAGTCCACTGGATCTGTACTGGATTTTCCTGCAAAAGGGAGAAAGTCTCTGAGTGAAGAAAGAGCGCTCCTTGTACAGAATGCCGTCGAGCAACTTCAGTCCCAGAGCACCATGGCATCTTCGTCAATAACTCAGATGCCTCAGTTGACCGGCATTCCCCGCACCAGCGTGCATCGTATTATGAGACGCCACCTTCATCTCCACCCGTATCTTTTCACTTTATTACAAAACATCACTTGAAAAGACAAGGAGCAACGTGTCACGTTTGCTAACAGGCTGCTGGACAATGAAGAAGTCGTTCCCAACATGTTATGGATCAACGAGGCGAATTTTTCTCTGGATGGCCTAATCAACAAGCACAATTGCGTGATATGGACCCGTGAAGCTCCTCACGAGTACCTCACCCATAATCTCCATTCCTCTCATCTCTGTGTCTAGATGGGATTCTCCTCAAAGTGTCTCCTGTGTCCCTTTTTCTTTGATGGTACGGTTTCCGGCGACAACCTCCATTTGTTGCAGACGCATGTTATCCCGCAACTCAAGCAGCACAAGCAGTCATCGACCGTCTTTCAACAAGATGGCGCTCCACCCCACTACTCAAACCAAGTGAGAACTTACCTCCGAGAGCAATTTTCTGATGACAGAGTCCTTGCTCGTGGATTTCCTAACTTTTGGCCCGCCAGGTCACTCGATCTAACACCTCCGGACTATTGGTCTTAGGGAATGATCAAGGCTCGCGTATATAATGAAAACAAACCAAAAAATTTTGTGGAGTTGAGAGTAAGAATTGAAGAGCAGTGTGCACGAGTGACGCTTGAAGAAGTTAAACGTACTGTGTCTCATATTTCATTCCGCCTCCAACATGTCATCGAAGAAAGGGGCAGGTTTTCAGAATCTTTTGTAATGTTAGTTTGTTTATAGTAAACCTTCATAATACTCGTATGTCTACATAAAAAAATAATAAATGTTTACATCAATGTTAAAGCTTTAACATGAATATTATTTTTTGCGTTTATTATGAGACACTCTGTATTTCGGCGAATAGGACGGCAATTGACATTGTCATTTGATGAAATGTGTCCCGATACTCGTCTTTCACTCACCACACATAACTTCATATTCATGGCAGTGGCGTCTTGCACAGGAAATGAAGGGGGACTAGTCGACGGGAAATTTAAAAATGCTCCGTATAACAATAGCCAATAAGCGGAATGGTGCAGTTTTCTTCACTTTCAACTATATAACTGACCCCCCAGTTGATCTGTTTCCTTTTTTTCAGGGCTGCGCCAACTATTTCTCGAAAATGAAGATGTTTCGGATCACCAGGCTGCCAGAGAAATATTACGTCATTCCGTTTATATGCCTGCACGTAGGTTCTTCACCTTTTGTTTTGTACTAGGCTATAAAGAATGATAGCTAGTCACGGTGAAATTGGCTTGCCAGAATGGGGCGAAGATTATGAGTACCAGTTTTATAATATAAGATAATACAACGAAATCGGACCGTTGGTCAGTTTGAACTGGGCACATCTACTAGTGGACGGTGACCAAAAACATACTAATCAGAAATAAACAGTAGTCAAGTTATTAAACAGTTTTTTGGGGAGTGAGTAAAGGCGGGAATTTAAAGTGAATAATTTGACCCCATCTACGGTGCGATTCATGCCAGTATTCTGATTGGTTAGCTGTGCACAAGCCAGAAAGCGCGCGCGTTCAAATTGCATTTGTGCACAAGCCAAGAAAAAAAGCGAGTTTAATGGTTGAAGCGTATAAACCAGAGAAAGACGGACTTCCAGTGCAAGCAAGAAAATAACGTGAAACAATTTTAAGAATTTATTGCAGGAGACCTCCGCATCTCCAGGTGAAATATGTGCAGTAGGACGTTTATTAAATAAGAAATCTTAACATCACAGAGCGTTTCCACGTACCCTAACGTATATATCAAACTGTCTTTCTTACACAACCTTTTTCCGACTTCCAAGATTACATATTTCAACAAAAGCTTAGAATTAGCTCGACATTTGTGTTTTCGGAAATCTCCATTCAAACTTAACTATAGTCATGGATATGTAACCATAGTTAAGACTTCGCACTCGAAATATTAAGCTCCTTCCATCTTAGTTAATAATATTTTCATGCTATATATGACTCAGCAGAAGCAGTGGCACCCTATGAAGCAACAGGTCAACCGGGAAAGCCGAAAGGAGGCCGGGTAACCGATGTCAGTGGCGTTCTTGTTGTCAGTTTCTCTCCAGATTGCCTGAGTGAATGTCTGGAGGTGTAGGCACCTCGGAATGATTGTGTTAAGCTAGCAGTAAGTCCCTCCCCCATCCACCTTTATTGTTTTCTTTACAATAAGGCTTACAAATAAGTCATGGTTGTACGGCAGTGAATCATCGGTGTTGAACACTGATGTCATGCTGTCGATGATGATGATGATGATGATGATGATGATGATGATGATGATAATGATGGGTGACGTCGCCAGGACTTGAACCACGAACCACCAGGCCCGCTTGAAGCTTACTCCCGCTCGGCCAACCATCCACGGGCGGTCAGTGGTGCAAACCTCTGCTGAGCAGCTGGGCCTTGTATGCGATGGTTGTATGTTTCGGTATCGATCACGTGACTAGGGCCAGCCAATCATCTGCTCCAGTTTGGCTTGTGCATAAATCAACTTCCCTACTCTACTGATTACACATGGTGTCTTCTTATGTTTTTTTTTCTCAGCTCGGTGCACTGTTAAGTTTCGTGATGAAGACGGTGTATGAAATTCGAGAGCGATCCGACTATGAAGCACGACCAGAAGAGGACGATGCCGAAGAAGAGACCATTCCAAGGACACCGATGGGATGCCCAAAAGGGTAGTTGTGAATGTGTTTTTCTGACTGATGTAAAAAATGTAATTCGTCAATAAACAATCATATGAAGCCGTTGGTTTAAGAACTACGTGTATCGGAAATGCAAAGGGATTTAAGTGTATGTTGCGAATTGTCTCATGACCAACTGAGAAGGAATAAAAGGTGTTGTGGAAAGTAAATCAAACATTCTAGAAGAAATCAAAGTAACGGTATTGTCCTTCAATGACCGAAGACTAAGTGCATTGTGTACTCATACCCTAATGTCTACCCTGTGAGTCTAGATGAGTGAAGAATAACATGAACCCATCCGAGCAGTGCAACAGTACCGCATGACTACCTATGTACTTATATCCAGCCGGTTAGCCTGGTAGCAAGACCCGCACAGCGTACTGCTGCTTGAATAATACGGAATCCTAGTCTTTTAGCCAGTTTCAGTTTACTCAGATTTCCCCTAGTGAACCTTGTTAGGCAGCAATTCTTTCTATTCGGCTTTGTGAATTTTAGAATTAGTTTAACATGACATCTTCGCGGTCCACCCACAGAACTGCTGACTGGTAGCTCCGTGTTCTGATCTGACTTGAATTTTATGCGTTTGCTGTTGCAGGAAGATTAGTCTGGAAAATGAATGAACCTAATATGTCATGACAGAGGGTACAATGCAATTTCACAGAGATGTCAACCCAATCGTGTTTTATTAGTTTGTACGGAGCCCCATTACGATTCTCCGTTCAGGAGCTGAGATCCCGGGAAACTACCCAAACGTTCTAATGTTAGGAGATCCTCAGACCGGGTAGTTCAGAAAAGCATGTTGTCGGATTTTAGAAGTTGAGATACATTAGTTCATTTGCCTTCATTTAAACTGGTCATGAGTGCTACGAGGGATGGGAAGAATCACTTCTTAATTAAAACATCGGGCCGTTTTTTTGGATGACATATCTGTCAAGGTTCGGATCCTTATGTAGCGAAACCCAGGAAAGAGGAGAGCATTATTTTTGTAGGATCTTTTTAGGGATTCGAACACATTTTTATTTCAAACATCCGGTTAAATTTCAAGCACAATGTTTGAGATTTATTGGGTCCTCTGTAAAGCTCTGACCACTTGTCAGTAGTCAAGTGATTATCTGAATCAGTTTGAAGCTGGTTAGATTAAGATCCTC